AGTTTTTAGCAGAAAGGAAATGGGTCCGACTCGCTGATGCACCGGAGCTGCTACTTCTAAAAACATTTAAGTAAAACTCACTGGTGATGGCACCGTGGCAGTCGTAAAGGGTAAAACAGAAAAACCAGAGCTGTTTTCCAACCTATCGGCACCTTTTTAAAAAACAAAACTAAACAAATTTTTATTGATTTTAGAGAGGAAGGGAGGAGATAGAAACATCAATGATGAGAGAGAATTATTGATCGGCTGCCTTCTGCACACCCCACCCTGGAGATCAAGCCCACAAAATGGGCATGTGCCCTGACCAGCAATCGAACCGTGACCTCCTGGTTCATACATTAATGCATGACCACTGAGCCATATTGTCCAGGCTCCATCAGAATCTTGAAGTTCAGGGAGATGCTGGGGAGTGGAATTGTGAAAACTGGGAGGGACTTAGGTGAACCAGCAGTACTGTTCTGATCCAATCTTCCCCATTTAATTAAATGTTTTTATTTAAAAGTATTTGTTTCAGATCTTCCTTAAAAAACAAAAAACAAACAAAAAACAAAAAAGAAAACCCCAAACTCTCAAAATACTCAGCAATAAAATGAAAAAAACAAAAACACAAAAGTGATGTCTTTGTGCCTTTCCTCTCCCCACTGCCTCCCCTCACTCTCTCTCTTCTCTGAGGCTACCTCTCCTGCAGGTGGGAGTTGATAGGGAGAGGGAACTTTTTCTTTTTAAAAAAATATATTTTATTGATTTTTTACAGAGAGAAAGGGAGAAGGATAGTTAGAAACATCGATGAGAGAGAAACATCGATCAGCTGCCTCCTGCACACCCTCTACTGGGGATGTGCCCGAAACTAAGATACATGCCCTTGACCGGAATTGAACCTGGGACCTTTCAGTCCGCAGACCGATGCTCTACCACTGAGCCAAACCGTTTTCGGCTAGTTTTCTTTTTCTGAAAACATCATCTTTATTTGAAAAAATGACAAACTATGCTTATCAAGACATGAATGGCCAACATTATTTAAAAAAAATTAACCAAGTGATGCTGCCACTCAAAGCAAGCAACTGATAGTATTTCTGGCCACTGATAAAAATGGAGCTTTCAAGCAAAAATTAAAATGTTGCAAAACATGTATTCACTACCATGTGCTTCACAGCTTCGCTTTTCATGATTTTTAATATTGAATAAATGGGATGTTTCAACATTTGGAAGATCTGCAGAACTCAGTGAAAGAATATTTTTCAAATAGCTAATGCATGATGTTATAAAATCAAAACTGGGTTAGTGATCCAATTAAAGTGCAAGAAAGAGATTTGATGTAACTGAGGACAGTTCATTCATTTTGGTTTCCGATTCAACATTGCAATTAACCTTTAAGAAACTACCACTGTGGTTTAGATGTTACATCAAATAAATACCCATGATTAACTAACTCCAAAGGCTATTAAAATCTCTCTTTCTCAATTATCTGTAGGAGGCCAGATTTTCTCAACCAGACATTTATTTAGGCCTCTTTCTCTCAGCAATGCTTTAGTTCTCAGTGTAGTGGTCTTGAATACCTTTTCAGTTACATTCGTAGGTATTTCAGTTTGGGTGTTACCATAAATGGACTTATTTCATTTTCCAATGGTTTGCCACTAGTATTTAAGATACAAGCACCTGTCCTGGCCGGGTGGTTCAGTGGGTTGGAGCACCTTTCCGTATACCCAAAGGTTGCTTTTTCAATTCTCAGTTAGAGAAATACCTTGGTTGCAGGTTTGATCCCTAGTCGGGTCTCTGTATGGCAGACAGCAATTGATGTTTCTCTCTAAAATCATTAAAACATATTCTTGGGTGAGGATTAAAAAGAAAAAAACAACAAACCACGTAAGTATCTAAAAGGTCTTGAGCCGAAACCGGTTTGGCTCAGTGGTAGAGCTTCGGTCTGCGGATTGAAAGGTCCCAGGTTCGATTCCAGTCAAGGACATGTACCTTGGTTGTAGGCACATCCCCGGTAGGGGATGTGCAAGAGGCAGCCGGTCGATGTTTCTCTCTCATCTACATTTCTAGCTCTCTCTCTCCCCCTTCCTCTCTGTAAAAAATCAATAAAATATATTAAAAATAAAAGGCCTTGAGACCAAAAAGTTGGAATCAGTGAACTATTGTAATATTTCAGCATGCATTTTGGTGACTTAAACAGTAAAATATAAACTTATTTTTAATCAGTGTTAAAATGATGTCTCAATTTTTAAAGTATAGATTATTCTTTTTCTTCTTAAAGTCCTAAAATCTGCTCCCTCCCCCCCTAATATCACAAAGCCTAATAATGAACTTTCAGGTATCTGGTGTCAACATTAGCTCATACCCAATCTTGTTTGAGATTGGTTCCACTCACTTTCCTATGCTGTTCAGAAGCAAGTTCTAGGCATGATATAATTCCACCATAACTTCTTTATGTATCACTAAACAAGAACTGAATGTGCTAGTGTCAAAAACTCAACAATAACATGGCCAAACATTATTTGTATCAATACCCACCGAAGTGGGGATATTGCCTTACTGTAGATTCCAGGCAATATTTCTAGCCCCAAGCAGCAGCCATTGCCGAAACCGGTTTGGCTCAGTGGTAGAGCATCGGTCTGCGGACTGAAAGGTCCCAGGTTCGATTCCAGTCAAGGGCATGTACCTTGGTTGCAGGCACATCCCCGGTAGGGGGTGTGCAAGAGGCAACTGGTCGATGTTTCTCTCTCATCGACATTTCTAGCTCTCTCTCTCTCTCCCTTCCTCTCTGTAAAAAATCAATAAAATCTATTTAATAATAATAATAAAACCCCTCAGTGGTTTCCCATTTCCTTTAAAAAATTTTTTAAAAAAGCTGCCATTGTCCCACTTCCAAGACAAACCAAATGTCCCGACTTTCAGTGTATTTTTAAGAGATCCACTTAATATTTTCCAGCAAATATTAACTAGGAAGTCTCTGAAATACAAGATTGCCAAGCCGGGTATAAAGGGTACTGGGGTTCACCTCCCGTTTGGGGGGCTTCTCGGGTCAGTGTTAAAGGCTTCCAAGGCCCTCTAGGACCGGAGCTTGGTGACCGGGCCAGTGCGGGCATGCGAGAAGGCGGCGGTGACACAAGCAGGTTCTTGTTCTCAGGAGAGTCATTTTTGTGACACTTCCAAAGCCTAAGGCTCCCTCAGTTTGGTCTCTTAAGTTTTACAATAATATGCATAAATTAACGAGTGTTTTATTTTTTTTATTGAATATATTTTTATTGATTTCCGAGAGGGAGAGGGAAAAGGAGAGATAAAAACATCAATGATGAAGAGAATCACTGATTGGTTGCCTCCTGCATTGCCCCCCTGCATTTGCCCTTGACCAGAATTGAACCTGGGACCCTTCAGTCTGCAGGCTGACGCTCTACCCACTGAGCCAAATCAGTTAGGTTTTAAATAACATTTAGGCACGCCGGAATGGCCATTTACTAATTAGAAGTTAAAATTTCGAAAGGCTTATATATTCATTAATATCTGCTGACCCAAAAAAGTTGAGTCAAGTATGATTGTTGTCATTTATGAAAATAACACAAGGACAATACTGTTAGCTGGCAGCCCTTTATTACCTGTCCTCCCGCCACCCCACATCCAGCGAGACAGTGTCTATCAAACTAGAGTATAAATCAAAGGAGATAAAAAACACTACATGGCAGGAATCAGAAGAATAAAGTAAAACCTCATAAGCAAAATGAAAGGCAATATTAAACTTCTACCTCCCTTCCTATCCCTTCCACTTCCACGGACACAATTCTCCCCCCCCCCCCCCCCACACACACACCTTATACACACATACTCCTCACGAGGAAAGAAACCACAGCCTAGGAACAAACTGAGTGTGAGAGGATTTTTTTTTAATTCAATTTGTAAAGGACAGTTTAAAAAAACAAAATGTTAGTAACACGCTAGAACATTGGCTTGTTCATTCGACATTTTCTCTATCTTCACCCATTTTTATTACAAAAAACAGAAAAGTAAAAACCCATTACAATATTTGCACAGTGTAACCACAGTGTCACCTAAACAAAAGCTAATTTCTATAAAACCATAAACTTAACAGTTTTATTAAAAGAGATTCAAAATTCTCTCAGTTTACTGGATATACATAGTGGTATATATTTTAAAGCAGAAAACCCCCAGAAAAACAAAAACAACGAAAAAAGAAAATATAAGTCAGAGTGGTCAGTTAAGCATTTTGACCTGACAGTTCCTACAAATAATAACTTCCACCATATATAAAGGAAACCGTTATCTGCAGTAAAAACTCTAGAGACAAAGTAGGAAATGTGTAATAGAAACAATCAATCAGAAGTCAGTCCCTGGCTGCATGTGTTTTCAATGAAGCCCAGGCAGTGAGTTACATCAGGACAGAAGGGACATGACTTATGTGTCCAAACCACTGTGTGTGTGTCTACAAGCGAGACCTTTACATGTCAAGCTGCAAAGTCTCAATGCAAGAACTTTGAAAAGCACAATTTTTTATTCTTCATACAAATCACTGCAAGTCATCTTTGTAAGGCCAGACCTTGCATAGGGAAATAGCTGTCTTCTGTCAAAAATTCTGCAGGAATGAGGAAAAAGCAAGCTTTTCAAAAATGATGCCCATGTGCAAAGAGTTAAACTACCGAGCACCTCTGTAACTGCCTCCAATTTATCTTTATATTTGACAAAAGGAAAAATTGCCAATTTATGGTGACAGATTGGCAGCAGAAAAATTAAAATTGCAAAAGTGCATCGTTTGAGAGTGCCGATACTTGTGGAAGGGACTCAGATGCACTCAATACGCCCCACTCGTGCTTTCGCCAGGACTCACAAGGAATTTGTCGCATAAATACAAGTTTCCTTTTTCAGAAAGTTAAAGTATGAAAATATAGGACAAGTTGTGGCATTCCTTTAAAAGTTGATGCTACATTAGTTGTATTCTGAGTTGGCTACTAGGAAGGATTAATGCTTCCAGACAGAGCCACGTGCCTTTAAGAGCCGTGGTAGAGGTTCATGGTACCCAGGACGGCAATGTCATATCTTTCTTCCACCTTCACGGAATTGGAATGCTCTATTACACTATTAAGCTCGGGGATGCTTTCAGCAGTGTCCCCAAACCCGTGGTAATGTCCATAGTGCAAATTCTCCCCAATATCTTCCACCCAGGAAGGTCTATTGGCTACGCAGCTACTCGGACTCCCATTCAGGTGCAGAGAACCGCACATCTCAGGGTTAACGCCCATGGTCTTTTCGGGTTCCTCAGTCCCGTTAACACAGAGAGAACCCTGGCTACTTGGAAATGGTCGTCCTGGAACTAATCCATTGCTAATTCCATTAGATCCTGTTAAGCACTGGTTATTCCTGCTTTCCATCCCATTGATCTGAGTCGTGGAAGAGAAGTCCAAATGTCCATTGATGACACATCCGTTTGTCAATGTGTTCGATACGGAGCTACTGTTTTTCATATCTGCATTAAGAAATACACCTGTCACCAAAATTCAGAACCAGAGGGGAGGAGAAACTATAAAATGCTTCATTGCTGCTACAATTTTAAAGGACTTATTCGGTTTCTTTTTTTTTTTTTTTTTGTTGTTGTTGTTAAACCAATTCCTTTTCCAAAGTGAAAACCATACACAGATTTTAAAATAAAACACAACAGTAGCATTTGCCTTGTAAGAAAGGAAACATTTATCAATTTCAGTAGTGTTGGGGAGCCAAAAATTAAAAAAAAAAAACTTACGTTGACAAATATATTGCATGAAAAATACCAATGGTACTGAAAAGCTGTCAAAAAAATTCCCATTTTAAGACTATTCTCGGAGAACAGTTTTTAAAATCACCCCTGAGAAAGTCCATCAGAACGGAACGTAAGGATTCCCACCAAAGGCTGAGATAGCACCAACTTCTCCAGCTCTTAACAGGAGGAAAGCGGTTTGGAAGCAGGTGGAATAGGCAGCTCCTCGCACTAGGTGAGGCAGTGTCACACTCACAAGCCAGGAAAGCCAGGAATATGAGAAGGAACCGCTTTTCCCTTTCACACTCAGATCTACGCGGCACTTCTGCCCAACACCACGTGGCAGCTCTGCAGAGTGCTGAGCACAGCGACCACAGGCAGGAACGAATGGTTCTCATGCACACAGTCTTGGGCCAATGGCAGTTCTGAAGTTTCTTCCGAGGTCAGCAATTAAGGTGATCATTACAGCCAAGGTTCCACTTTCAAAAACAACTTATACTGGAAAATGTTGATAGGTTAATCTGCATCCATTAAAAGGAGGATGTCTTGCCAAAAAAATGTCACAAAACGTTTGGGCACATGGGAATAGACAATTACAAGGTATTTTTCTGTATAATGACACTAGAGAGTTAATATTCATGTTCACAGGCATTCACAGCACAGTATAGAGAATGATCTAAAATTGTCTTGCTTATTAATATTTAATTTTAATGTTCTGCGCTATTAAAGCATGGTATGATATTAAACACAGAAGAGCTACGCTATAACAGGTGAGGACTCATTTTGCATATCTGATCACCCTAACATCTCACACAGTGTGCCTGTCCCCTTTAAGGGCCCACTTTTGGGTTCACCATCTATAGACCTCTGACTTGCACTCGAACACAGGTTTTTGTGTGCCTGCAAATCTCCCTGCCAATAAAAAACCATAGCTTGTTCAATGAACAAAAACATCTCCTAGACATTCCATTAGTCATCAATTTTCTGGCAATTTAAATGACAATCATAGTTTAATAATTATTATAAATTCTTTAGGGGCTTATGAAAATTTTAAAAAAAAATTAATAGCTTTTCTATCTAGTTAAAACTCAAGACTAGAGAGCAAGTGTTTCAAGAACTAAACATGAAGTAAAATAAAAAGGAAAACACTAAGCTGTTCCAGGGAAATATTTATATTAATTATTAATTTTTTAAAAAGTATAAGTAATTGTTCCTGGGTCATAAAACTCATGGGTATGGTGGCAAGTTTGATAGTTATTAATAACTGGCATAGTACTAAAAAAGGTGAAAATCCTATTTTCAGGTGACTGAGTCTGTAAGGGTAAATGAGCATGGCCTCAGAAATCTGAGGTAACAAGACTCTTTTTTTTTTTTTTTTTAATGTTCCCCGTGCGTGTACTGCTTTCCTTTAGTGCATTATGCAATCTAAAAATCAAGGAGATAACCTCATATCATTGTAAGAAATCTAATAAAACTGAGCAAGAAAATGGCAGACATGCTAAAGAATGGCTAAGACAGAGCCCACTGACCAGCTCCAATACTGTCCATCATTCTGTTCCAAGCTGCTTTCCGAGACTCATCCATTTACTGATCGGCTACAAGTAATCTCTAGCTATTTTAATTTTTGTTTATTCAGTCAGATAATGTTGTAAATGAAATGATGGAAAATATGAAGATGCTTACTTGGCACTTGTATATGGGATGAGCTGGGATTGGAAAAATTATGGCATTTAATGTTATGTTCAAGCTTGGTATTAAGTTTAACCTGAAAATCCAGGGAATTAATGTTTGGAGATTAAAGAGTGATTACTTCTGCCTTTTTAAAAGCATGTAGCAATGCCATTAAAAAAAACAAACTGGCTTTGAGTTTTGTTTCATTTAATTATTTGGCAAAAAGGTGAGTCCTCCCATAACAATTTGTAGCTTCTAGAAAGATGTATACATTTCTTTTCATTTTTTAAAACAGAAATGATTTTTTTTCATGTAAATCTGGGGAACAAAATATATCATCTTTTATCCCCAGTAGAGAATTTGGCATAAAGACATAATAAAACTTTTAAAAAGCCAGTATCTATTTCTAAATATATTAAAACAGTAAAAGAATGGCTAAAATATTTTCATGGTACCTAAATAAAAGATTGTAGAAAAAAAGCATTTACTAAATGGATAAATCTTAAAAAGCTAAAAGAAACTGAGCCTTGGCCTTTTAAAAATGGATGACTATCTATACTAAAATTTTAATATACTAAAAGCGTTAGCATAGAAAATGTGTTTTGTGAGAGATGGTAGTCAGCATTTTACCAGACCTAGAGTGAGTGGCACAGAAACCAAAGCAACCACTGAGCGTCGAATGACAGATTCCGTACTGGCGCGACTGGTTACAAGTTAAAACCACAATGTTTACTATTTCTCAAGGTTTCTGGCTGTTAATCGCTTTGAAGTTACTACCAATAGGCATTCATTCAGTATATTCACCCAAAGTCCTCCATCAGAAAATAAAAAATGCAAAACCTTATTAAACAAGGCACATTAAGCAAAAGTTTAAAATCAAAATATAGATTGCACTTATATTTTTCATATCCATAGAATGCACCAAAAACACTTATCCTACAAACTTGCCCAAGATATGCAAATTATAACATTCTTTGAAACACTAGACAACAAAGTGCAAAACTCGTTTGAAAGAAGCTGTTAGAAATAATATGCATACTGATTCTTGCAACGACAAGGGGTCTGCATTGCTGAAACAGTATATATTTCTATTTCTTTTGGTCCAACAGAACCACCCTCCTGCTGTGTGGTGTCTTCGACCATTGGACTGTTGTTGCAGCTAACAGGAAACTGTCCACTCCCACCTGTTACGACAGCAAACTCTCTATCGACGTGCATTTTTTCAGCATCATCTTCTGCCTCGCTGTTCACTACTGGCATGCAGTAATCCAAGCTTTGAGCTGCACAGGAAACAAAGGCAATTTTAGATACCCTGCACACACGAAACAAGTATTTCTCATTCCATTTTGTTAGAGCACTGAACTTCTGACAGATTTTTTTCAAATAATTTCATAATCTACATGACAAATGATCTTAGTATACTACCGAGAAACTTTCCCACAATATTACAAATGTTTTTAAACTCAATATATTATATATTATGCCTCAAAATGCCCATCAATTGTTTTCCATAAATACTAGGACAGTTCTTGGGTAGCAACACAAAAATCATGAAAATGATCCTCAAATTAAAAAAAAAAAAAATCATGACTTCCAGTAACAGAAAATAAGGTAAAAGCCAAGACTCAAGACAGCCTGCCAATACTGTCCCCATGTGGTACCAGCCTCTGTGCTTCTAGACACAGTAAAATTAGTTTTAATTCCAAGGTATTTGGAGCCAAAGCTACATGTACATTTCTTATAAAATCATCATGCTCTGTATCTTGGAGAAAAGCTAATATGCACATTTAATCTCTTTTCCTCCAAATACTATATACTCTGTGCAGAAAAACCATCCTTCCCCCACTCCAACCCCCCACCTCAAACCCTAGTATCCAAATTTCTCAGGAGCAGCCCCTCTCATTTGATAGACAAATCTAGTCTTAAACACGTATTTTTTTTCAAAACCAAAACCTAAAAATCATTTTTATGCTTTGCTTTTATTCATTTACCATGGTATCAAGGCATCCCTATCAACTAAGTTCAAAAGAATCTTTCAAGTTGAAAGCCATTGTACGGCCGTATAATAATTTGCCCACCACCAAATTCCCTGCTACTGTGTGGGATGCTTCAGTTTTCTTTCCTATTGTGAATACCATAATAAAATCAATCTTTATAAAGGCATCTTTGCGTGCATTTCTAGATCTTTACTCAGATAAAGAACTAGCATTATCTTGGGGTCAAAAAATAAGCAACAACTTTTACTGCTAAGTATTTCTTTTAAATAATTTAAAAGCAGACTTGAATTTTGCAGCTTTACTTCCTTCTAGTTTTAGAGGCACACAAGTCATTTTCAATATAGGAATGAACATATTCCAGATTATTCCCTTAACTGTTGAAACTAAAGATAGTGTAGTCTTAATGAAAAACAAATTCTGAATTAGCATGTGAGAGAACCAGAAGTGTGTGATTTTGTGTAGTTGAAAGTATAAATCTGTACAGCTGTGAGGCCAAAAACAGTCTACAAAGAGGTGCTTTGAAAAACCAGGCATTAAACCATAGATTTCTGTATTTTCCACTCAATGCTTTTTGTAATCCTCTGCAGGCCCAAAGTGATAGGCAAGGTTCTACCTTCACTATGCAACAACACGTTCAAGAGTTCAGTGGCAAGCCATCTCATAAAGGAGTGGAAAGAGGTGTCCCAAATACCAGTTGTCACAATCCATGCAACCTTCAGGGAGTTCTTAGTCTACATGGGGTGTGGTTTCCCCTTTTCTGCACTCTAACGCCCGATAAGCCAAATCAGGTGTAGACTGAGAACAGGTGCAGGCTATCATGGCAAAACCACAAATGTCCTTGTAAAAAAGGCATCTCTGGGATACAGAGTAGCTTTCAGGAGCCATACTCAATATCTGGTTTTGTTGTGGAGCTCAGGTTTCAGTGTTCCTTGGGCAAAGTGGCAACTACATTATGTCTACAATTTCAGACCTGTGAAAAGTACTTTTTTTTGTTTGTTAAAAGGTAAGCCCAGGTCAGGGGCACATACCCAGGTTGTGGGCTCAATCCCTAGTGGGGTATGTCCAGAAGGCAGGCAATCCATGATTCTCTCTCATCATTGATGTTTCTCTCTCCCTTCCCCTCTAAAATTAAAAAAAAAAAAAAAAAAAAGTCCAGCCGGTGTGGCTAAGTGGTTGAGCATTAACCTATGAACCACGTCACAGTTCAGTTCCTGGTCAGGGCACATGCCTGGGTTGCAGGCTTCATCCCAAATAGGGGGAAAGGGGGATGTGAGGGAGGCAGCCAATCGTCATTCTCTCATCACTGATGTTTTTCTTTCCCTCTCCTTTCCTCTGAAATAAAAATATATTTAAAAAAAAATTTTAAATGAACATCATCCCATAATCATCGAAGTTATATTTGCCAACTCACCTTTTGAGCCCAGTGCCTACAATAGTACTCATATCAACAAATGAAACCTACGCTCTAGCCACAAAGGGCATAAATATAGAAAGCAAGAAATATAACTACAGCAACCAGGAACATGGAAACCACCGGTCATTTCAGAGAAGTGGAAGCGAGACATGAAGACAGACTTGCCACTAGGGGGCCAGAGTCGATGGCAAAGGAAGTTCAAAAACAAAAATGTGTATACAGAGGACCTGGGGCACAATGCAGTTTTAAAGCAAATATGAATCCCCTAGAGGACTATCCAGTGCACTAGTAATTATGCTCTAAAATTGTTCCACTTAGCAGATGTCTTTTATTAATGCAGATAAGTTTCTCATTAATAAAAGATAAAAATGAAACAAGAACAAAGGCTTTCAAACTCTTTAATGTAGGAAGCATATGGTAATGCAGACAGCCTAGAACTTAATTATTTCTCTAAGGATACACCATCTTTGTAGTATTTTTCCCATGAAGTATCTGCAAGGATATTTCACTACTTGGCTAATCCAGCTGACCCAGAACCCTCAGTAATTTCATACTAATATCTTAACACTTGCATATAGTGAGCACTCAATTATACAGGGGCATTAAGGCTGCATTTGCTTTTTAAAATTGTACTTTATGGCCCTAACCGGTTTGGCTCAATGGTTAGAGCATCGGCCTGCAGACTGAAGGGTCCCGGGTTCGATTCTGATCCAGGGCATGTACCTTGGTCGCGGGCACATCCCTAGTAGGAGATGGTGGCTGATGGATGTTTCTCATTAATGTTTCTACCCCTCTATCCCTCTCCCTTCCTCTGTAAAAAAATCTATATCTTTAAAAAAAATTGTACTTTGTCATGAAATAATTGGCCTCTCAGAATGTTCAGAACATTGGATCTGGATTTGACTCCTTTTCCTGACAATCACAGGTGTCACCTGTGGCATTTTCTCCCACACCTACCTATCGCCAAAGTAACTTTATTCCATGTTGCATCTGAGAAAGGCGATCTGTAAACACTTCTGAATTCTTCCAAACTGTAATTTTTATTGTTTTGGAAAAACATTTTCCCTTCCTGTTTATTTTTGGGAAAACATTTTCCCTTCCTGTTTATTTACCCCCGATAAAAGAAAAAATTACTGAACATGTTTTAAAGTGTCCTTACCTTCTGACTCCCAAAGCAGGTATTTGTTGAGGATTCTAGCACACATTAAACAATGCACACTATGTGGGAAAACCATCTAGGCCTGGCTCAAAACCAACACAGAGTCACTGCCCAGGAAGTCTTCTCATCCTTGACCTCCGCGGAGTCAAGGTGCTCCATTCAGGAAGGTGCCGGGGTAGCAGAGGCCTGCATTTGTATTTTCATTTAAAGCTCAAGGGTTGAATAAAACCCCTAAAGCCAATTCTAAGGGAGCTTCTAAAACTACACAAAACATGAAAGAACAGTTTAAAATGTAGGGAAGGCTTATAAAAATCCCTAGACTTATTCCATACTGGACGTGTAAAACTGGCAAGTAGTTTCATACAGGAGATTTAAAAGCAGCTCAGTGTTGTAAGACAATGACCTAATTTTCTTTGTGCATCTTCACAGTGCCAGTCAGGGGTCCCTCCCAGGTGCTGACCACCCAGTGGCAGTGGCAGGATGCCACACCCCTGTGGTCTTTCCACTGAACTGGGAACTCTGACCTCAGTACCCCATTAAAACAATCAGGAGGGAAAGGTTTCCTTGGTTTCCCACCAGCCATTACTAGTTTGAACTATTCTTTGTTCTACCAGAGAGCACATTTAACCCAAATAACTAATTTTGAAAATAAATATCCTGTTAAAAATAGTACCTAAAACCAATGCAAAAAGGGTTCTATAAGGTAACCTTTTGGGGAACTTAGACACAGCCCCAACTGCAGACCAGGGGGTGGGGAAAATTCAAGAGAGGAGAGCAGTGGGGATGCATAAATGACAGAACTGCAAAACTAAGGAAGGGTTGGAGTTGTTAAAACACAGAATGAAAAGTGGATGTGAAATACACCATCCTGAAGGTATGCCAATGGAGGATTCCCACTGCAGCCGCACACACTGGAAACAGACTAGCACACGAGGCTTGAATTCAAGATTACAAGAATAAAAGTGGGAATCACCGAAAATGCTTGGTTCTTATTATAATTCATTCAAATTGGATTTCTAGAATGCCATGTGTTTAAGGATAATAACAACCATTTGTTATTCTAACACAATCAAGTGTTCTCTGTGGTCAAATTAAAAACAAAACACATCACACAAATATAGCCATTTACTGCAAGTTTGAGAACACTAAGGAAACACAATGAAAGTATTGTATATATATGACACTCCATAGAAATAATTACATTAAAAAAATCTGACTTCTTGACTCTTTAAATAACTAGTTGACAAATATTAACAAATGTGTTAAGGCACATCTACCTTCTTCTCCCCCCACCCCCACCCCCCTTAGTCATTTAGGCTGGTCAACATGAACAATTAAGAACAGAAAGTGAAAATCCTGTTAAATTCATCCCAGGAAAAGTGTGCTGAGAAACTTCCTTCTGCTAATTTTAAACTGAGTCATTCATGTTGAAGATAATTTCTTTAAAAATGTTTTAATATTATATAATCACACATCTGTATGAGATGCTAAGATCAATAATATACATATTTGACTAAAACAAAACCATGAGGCCAACTTAACATTTGAGATCTGGTATTGCCATAGAATACTTCTTGTGGCACAGTTTCCAAAAAATAAAACTGTGAAGTTACTAGGTAAGTCTGTTACTCACAGTACCCTTCCCCACTCACAATTCTAGAGCTGCACCCCAAAGATTACTGGCTAAAAACAAGGTAAAGGTTCCTCTAATGGGTGAAACTGCCTTTCTTTTTTAGCCGGGACCACTAGTTATTTGGACAACAGCTCTCAAGAAATACATGAATAATTGTAGAGTGTTACTCCTGAAGACTAAGAATGCTAACAAAATCAAGCACATCTTTATAAAGCAATGCCAGCTTAAGTTCTGAAGTCCATGTGTCATTCCATCTTGAGCAAATGGTTTATAAATGGGGGGAGAAATCCAAACCTAATTAATTACATAGCTACTTCCTTGCACCATCATAAAATCCCATAATGGGAAATATTACCCCAAAATACTTTTCACCAAAACCAACCACTTAAGTAACTTTGGATTTTATTTCACCCTTAAGGTCTACGGCCCTATTATTTCTGTTCTGACCAAAGCACATTTTGATTCTGGTGTGAATGACTGTATACAAGACATTTGCTTCCAAAGGACAGCTCATATCCGAGCAGCACAAAAAAGCCAAGGCATTACTACTCCTCTTGGTTCTTCACATAAATATGATTTCTAAGGGAAAAATCACTCCAATTAGCTTAAAATATTTGAAAATGGATTACTGAAAGCAGAGAGATACTACTTTCTATAGGGAAGAGTAGGTAACTTTGACTCATGATTCTAAAGTAAAAAAATTAAAGGAGTGAATTTTACAGGGCACATCTTTTAAGAATTGGTTCGAGATATGTATTTAACCAAGATATTTCAGTCACCATAAGAAAAAGCCAAACTTGTACTTCAAAAAAGAAAAAAATAATTTTAAACTCTTCCAAATACTTCCATATGTGATTTAAAGAAGTATTTTATGTGCATGTTACATTAGGAAAAAAGTACTTTCACTTTGGCATAAGAATCAAAAACTTGTCCACAAAATGAATTCAGGGTCAGTTGGAGAGGCTCAGTACGTTGTGTCGTCCTGTGTATCGAATAGTTCAATTCCTGGTCAGGGCATGTACCTGGGCTGCAGAGGTTCAATCCTCAGTCAGGGAGCATAAGGAGAGCAACCAATGTCTCTCTCTCTCTTGTGTCCCCTCCTCTCTCTAAATATGTCTTCTTATAAGAATTTAAAAAAAAAGAAAAATAATTCAGAATGAGCAGAGATTTAAGCTCACATAAATAGCAAATTTAAAAAAATGCCCAAAATTAAATGAACTAAGGCAACTGATCTTAAATTGCATACTAAAAAACTGGTCAAATGGAAATAACTATAGAGTATGGAAGCAAAGAACTTCATTTAGAAGATTCAGGTAGTTGGGGGAAAATCTTGTTTTAGTAATCAAGAATGCCCTAACATTTAGCAAGTACACAATGGTAAAATGAAAAAAAAAAAAAATCAACTCTTCCTTTCCCGTAGAGAAAAGAGTGGAGCAGGCATGGGGGTTGGAAGAAGACAACTCTATCTATGCTTACAAATATGAATTTATACAAACACACTCTTAAGTCACATGTGGGGCAATCTCAGGACTGGAGTACTAGAAATTTTAATGAGCAAATAATTAAAGTAATGCTCAGTAGACAAATGATTAACACTGGAAGAGCAATGATTTCTTCTGTGATCGTGACAAGTATTATTTCATGTATATATGGAGCAGTGCTCAACCTTAGGTTTGTATAATTTATTACCTGCAAACTTAAATGCCAGCATAAAGCACATTTTCTTCTTAATTGGCATCCTCAGGTTGTTAGGTATGGTGATTTGTGAAAGCTGTATGGTGAGTTTAGTGTGTAAGATATAAATCTCTAACTCTGGTTTACCTAAATGAATCCTTGTCTGGAGAAGGAAAATAAAACCCCTAAAAACCTGCATAATGCTTCAAACTAAATCTGTGTGTAATAGGATTTAGGAAACTTAGGACAGAAACAGATCAGTTCACCGTAAAACCTTCAGAAACTAGTTTTAAAAACTCTCTAGGTACACTCTACATCTTAGAATGTTGTGTCAAACTTTTTAAAAACAAACAGAATTTAAGATTTATCCTACCAAACTACATTCACAGACATAGTCAGAATGAGGGCACAATAAAGCTAACAATATCATTCCACAATATCAGTCAGGCATTAAATTTTAAAAAGTATTTTTAAAAAGTATATGCTCTTAAAGAGCTTTAAAAATACATTAGAAAATATATAGTGAAACATGTTGCAAATAAATGACAATGCTGAGCAATACTTTATTAAAAAACACCACATTTGAAGTATAGGTATACATACCTCATTGTGTTTTATCATAGCACTTTCTGGATTTATTAGGCTCATAAGGCTATGAATTTGATAAACTATTACATTTAAGTTCACTCATTCATTTAAAAGTCACATATCCTTAAATGTGACTTTTTATACTGACCAAGATTTCAGAAGTTATGAAGTAGGTATTACAATTTTTGTCATTAAAAAACACGTACTTTTTGTCTGAATATATTCATTAGAGACAAAGCAGTGAAGAGTGGATATTGACCCATACAATTTAAACACCTCTAACCAGCAGTTTTTTCTCATACTATACTTATATAGTTGATTTAAAAAAATTTTTTTTTACTCTTTATCTGAGGATATTTGTTCCCATTGATTTTTAGAGTGGGAGGGAGGGAAGGAGAGGGGAAGAGAAAGAGAGAGAAACATCAATGTAAGATATACTGATTGGTTGCTTACTGCACGCACACTGACCAGATTGGGGAGAACCTGCAATTGAGATATGTGCCATTGATGGGGAATTGAACCCTCGATCTTTCAGTCCACAGGCCAACACTCTAACCACTGAACCAAACCAGTGAGGGCTAATTTTTTTAAGTCAAAGGGCACACTTTGTATTTTCAGCAAATCTTATCGGAGTGCATTAATTTCAGAGTGACTTTGCTAAATATTCCTGCCAAGCTATAAATTTGTCCTCTGTTTAAGATATTTTATATACGTATATGTAATTTTTTCCTAAATAAAGTTTTTCCCCCAACTTCAAGAATGACTGCTCCTAATTATTTGCAAACTCCAAAACTAAAGATTAAAGAAGTGGAAGAATACCTAAAACTTGACTTACCTTACAGAGTATTAAGTCCTCAAAGTGACATATCAGATCTTGTGACAAATGCAGACTACCATGTGGGTCATGGAGACCAGCTGAGGCCAAATCACAGTGCAATTGGAACAGTATAGCAAACATTTACCTTCCCAGATGTGAAAATATGTTTTACTACCAGACCAACAATTGTTATAAGCTCGGGGACATTTATGGGAAACAAAGAAATCAGGCACAGGGGCAGATTTTTTTTTAATAGTTGTATTTCCAACAGGAACAACAAGAAAAATCTTTCTCATTCCTGGAAGGTAAACCTGGGCATGCAGAAATGTTATCAACGCACATTTATATTTGACCTGTCAACACTGCCCTCTTACGTTCTCCCCTTTTGTTAAATGGCCAAATCTTCAAAGTAGCAATACAGGAAAAACTCCACCTTCACTGTACCAGAATCCTCCGGGCCAGTACCACCTTAAGTGAAGGTCTCATCTTGAGGTGCTTTCAGCCATAAGAAAAAGAAAACATGTTAAAGAAAGTAAACACTCGCCTACAAAGTGGTCTCACCTTCGGTTCTAGCTTTCTTCACTTCAAAGGGTTCCGAATCTTCCAAGCATCTCTTGCGATTTGTTCCCACACTAACATGATTAGGAAATATATTCTGATGGCCCCCATTTAAGGTGCCATTATTATAGAAACGGTTCAGATGACAATTCTGGAGGTTCAAGAGAAACTGGGTACATTCTTGGAAACCCTGGGTTTGAGCAATGTCTGCTGCTGTCAGGCCACTGGCATTTCTCAGGCTGTACAACACAAAAACACTGAATTACCTCCCATTAGCATTTTCATCTGGTCTCTGCTCCTGCCGAACTGACTAACTATCTGAAGGTGATATGAAAGAGTATATAGATTTACAGCAAGCCTTCATTAAAGAAGGCGTTACTCATCCTAGCTCTGTAACTAACTTCTCTCTTATGCACATTGATTACTAAGCAAGATTTGGGCGATAGTAATTTAAAAATCAATATAGTAAACTTTAAAAAAAGGCATCTTCCTATTTAACGTCTCAAAATCATTTTTTGTTAGTCTGAAGAACCTAAATTTATGCTAACTTCAGACTTAACCTGAATTCTATATTATCAGCACTTAATTTTAATAATCCATTCCTTTAGCTTGAGTAAAATCAATAACAAACAAACATGTACTGAAATTGTCCATGGCATTCATAACAATCGGCTTCCTAAAAACAAAGGTATGCAATTGCTTACCAACTATAATTTTATGTGACACTATAAGTGGAAGTTTAGAAGGATGTCCTGACATTAAAATAATTTGTTATTAGGCTGGAGATGTGAAGAGTTGAGGAATTGTTTGTTTGTTTGTTTTGTTTTTTGCCTTGCTTAGGAAAACTTGTAGGAGTTGGCATTCTAGAGCATTATGAGTGGATAGTTCCTGTGAAAGCCAAATACTATTCTAGGAACTCATGCCCTAAGGCTAAGAGTACCACTACTGAAAAGAATCAACATCTTATGTGGTTAATATCACAAGTAAAAGTTTGATGTCTTCCATAGTAGCTAATATTCAAATTAAAGGAGGAAGTGATGGTGTAAGTGAAAGATCTGAATAAGATGAATATAAAAGAACCAGTTGAGCTTAGAGATCTTAATTAGGAAACAATAAACATCTAAAGAACAAAAGCAACTCCACGCTGAAGTTCCCCTGGAGAACAAGAAAATACACTGCTCTGTGAAATAAATCTGCAAAAAAAGCAAAATAGGTTGTTAGCTACAGGTTGATAAACTGAAATTACAGAAATATCAAACATATGTGCAAAGATATCTTCATACCTACTCAGTAAGATTTGCTACAGAGCAAAGGTATGATCAAATAAGGCTTTATTTTGTGTAAGTGAAATAATCAATGCAGAACCTTTGATTTGTTTCCTAGGCTAATATTAATGTCAAAACAGAAACCTTTTTTTCCAGAGAGAAAACTGCCAAATCAGGGTCTTTCATTTTCAAAGATAAAAATAAGCCTTGAGTTCCTATTTCCAGCCATCATACTCATAAAACTCCACCTCAGAAATGAATAATCTATATATTCTTGGATAATCATTAAACATCTCTTCACTACTTAGCAGATGACATAAAGAAATGTATTATACATCTTGAAGAAAGGCAAAAGCCCAAATTCAATTTTATCAGATATAAGAGAGGCAAGACTTATGAATTCCAGAAACCAACAATATTTTCTTAAACATAGAAGGCAGTTGTATCAGGCTACTGGGGAACTAAAATGGACATTTTAATTTTACCTCTGATGAATATTATTCTAGAATTCTTAATGTTTTTATTTTGATACATAAATTAAATGGAAACTACTGAAATTTGGACAGAGCAAATTACATGCATACAAAATAATCATATTCTTGATTTTTAATATCAACTTGTTATTCAAATGTAACATTACAGTGTATAGCTGGACTATTTTTAAATGATGCATTTCATTTTCAGAAGATATCACATATAAAGATGGTGCAGAAAGGTCTACTTCTTCAAGAATGTAAACACAAAAATTGTTGCCACCTGAAAAATTTTTCTTAAGTCTTAGCTTTTCCAAATTTGAAAAGATGAAGACCCAGAACATAAGCAAACTTTATACAATGATCATTTCTACAGGTAAGTATGGACTTGCTCTCTAAAATCAAATAAAAAAATGAGAGATTGATGCTTAAAATTAGAACAATAAAGTTGACAGTAAAGATTACTCCTTAGTGGATCACAGAATAAAAAGGAACAGTACACAGATTTTTAAAAATGGAATCTACAACCATAAATGCCAGTTCACCAAGGAAAACTTGTTTAAAGAGCATGCCAACATTTTGAAGTTGCTAAAAAGAGTAACATTCAAAATATACCCAGTTCCTTTACACTTCATTCAGAAACTTAACAGTAGACTGAATTTGGGCTAGAATAGCAGTTTACTGTTCTTCCAAAGAAATAAACCTTAAAGAAAAATAAGCAACAAATTAGTGCCAATATCCAGAGAGTGTAGAGATTGTAAATGTTTAAGTGGCATTATCTGCCTTAATAAAAGACCTAGACATCACCACCCTACCTCCTCCTTTACCAAAAGTAATCAAACACTTGCACATCACTTGATTGAGAAAGAGCCAACCAAATTCCAAGTTGTGTCAGCTATTATCTTCAAAACTCAAAAGAACCAGAGCCAACTCAGGCTATATACTCCCTGTGCATAGACCAACCAAGTGAGAGAGAACAGTAACAGTCAGTTTGGTTCCTTACATAACTTTGCGGTACCAAAGGTTAGAGTGATCCAAAAGGAAGGTCTAAATATTCTATAAAATGTATGGATAGATCATAATCTGGGACATTTGGTGACTGTGGAAAAATTAATTGGGAGATTATAATTTTGGCGATATCCTGTAGTATATAGGAAATAGAAATAAAATAGCCCTTCTCTACTTCTAGGAAGCTATAGAAGATTTCAAATATATTATTACTCAGGTTATTAAAGACTGAATACTGGTATACACAATATATAGTTTACTTTAATAGACTTCATATTTCTCTGAAACAAAAGATCTGTTAACACCTGATACTGATACACAACAACCAAAACTACTATTCCCCTCTTTTGCCTCTCAATGTTTTCCTTCCCCCATCTCCTCTCCTACTTACTTACTAATAGATTCATTCCTCCATTCCACCCCTGTGGAATGTTTAATTCCCTAATTCTGCTCTGCTCACATTTAAAAACTTACAAGTGGCTGCTCCAGCACAGAATGCACATTACAAAAGACTGACTGGAAAGTAACATTAGAGATCATCTAATTTGGGCAGAGGAACTTTTTCTGTAAAGGGCTAGAAAATACATATTTTCGATCTTTGAAGCCACCGACTCAATCACTACTCTGTTATTTTAGCCTGAAAGTAAGCCTCAGACAATATATAAACAACTGAACTTACGTGTTAACAAACCTTTATTTGTGAGTATTGAATTTCATATAATTTTATGAATCATAGTAATTTTTGTTTTTGTTTTTTGGTCAACCACTTAAATATGTAAAAATCATTTTTAGTTTATGGGCCATTCAAAAACAATCAGGAGGCTGGACCTGTTAACAAACTAATCCTCTCTATTCTTAATAATTGTCTATTGGTTCCTAAAAAAAAATCTTTCTAGTAAAGACTTTATATCTATATCTGTTATACATATATATATATATATATATATATATATATATTTGATTTTCCACAGAGAGGAAGGAAGAGGGATAGAGAGCTAGAAACACTGGTGAGAGAAACATCCACCAGCTGCCTCTTGCACACCCCCTACCGGGGATGTGCCCACAACTAAGGTACACGTCCTTGACTGGAATTGAACCTGGGACCTTTCAGTCTACAGGTCGACACTCTATCCACTGAGCCAAACCGGTTTCGGCAAGACTTTCTATTTTATGCACGATTCAAACAAACAAACAGAAAACTTTATAGGTCTTAGTTCCTCAAATCACTTTTTAATGTTAAATAAGTAGAGAGGACTTTCATATGAACTATAGAGGCTGAAAATCACATGGGTTTCCAAATAAAAGCTGGAATAATCATTACATGGTTCCATTCTCAAAACACTTTTAATGTTTAACAAAAGCAGCTCAGGTCTTTAAATTCTTTTTTCATATAAGCTGTTCTATTTGCTAATAAGCATGTCTCAAGTGTTTTAAAATTTCGTTTTAAGAGCTGAAACACTAATCCTGGTTACATATCATCAATTCATTAACCCTTCAAACTCTATAGTGCTCCAAGTTTAAACCTAAGCTATCCTGTTATTTTCCTAAAACTCCATGGGAGCTGTGGCTTAAGATTGACAGGTTCTATAATAACTTCACATTAAATGTGGTACTTTGTTCTTTTAGAGTACTTTTTAAACAGTCAAGCTATCACCTTTCAATCAATCTCTAAGTGTTCACTGTGGTGTGATAGGCCACACTGCACTAACTGCTGGCCACTGCTATAGAACCTCAAGTGAGGTACTGATAAAGAAAAATTTACAGTATCAGGAAGAAAATGTTCAAAATTACTCTCTAAAACTTTATTTTGCATGAAAACATTTAGTATGGACATTAAATCTTTTTTAATTTGGCACCTTTAGTTTGATGCACTTGGGCACACAGACTACACCTAGTCTAAAATTTTTCTTTGTCCATTTCTGAAAACAAGAGGACGCACATGGGACCAAGTTGTTCTATAGCTCTAGTTGACCTTCTCTGGTCCTAATATTCATTTTAAAAATCTTAGAAAATGAGAGATTTAAAAAAATCAAATATTAATCAACTTGATGTTCAAATCAGGTCTAGTTTGCTGAAGTACATGAAAATTGACGATCAGATTTTTAGGCTGGTAAGACCAATTTGCTATTACTTATTATAGAAGTGATCTGTAGGTTCTAGTTCCTGTAAGTCAACATGAAACACAGTCTTCAGGCAGACCAGCCATTTTCTCCAATGGTTGTTAGTTTTATTTCAAAATTGAAATATGAAAACATGGAAAGACATAGACTAGCCTGTGCTATGAATTATTTGCTCTGCTAACTAACTAGAAAAATCAAACTGTTATTTTTTTTAAAACTTTACTGAAGTTAAAAACATAAATGCTTATGTAGTATTTTTTGTAATAAAATTCTGAATAGAATATTAAATTTATTATACCTAAGAATGTCTCTTCAAAGAATTTTAAAACAAATTCCATTCTACTGCTAGCCAATTCCCCTATTTTCGACTTAT